CGGCTCCGGGACTCCGCTGCAGCAGGGTGCCGGGAGCGGCGCTTAACGCGGGTGCGAGCAGCTGCTTTGTCCGCGTGGCGGAAGCACCAGAGCGGCAGAGCCGGCCCTGATGCTCCGTTTCTAGGCTCTCAGAAGGCCGTAATCGAGGTTGTGCCCGGCGACTTGACATAGGCGTGACAAGCGCTGTCGCAGACCGCGCCTCTTTCCCACGTTGCTGGAAGCGCAGTTTGGTGTCTATTGAAGATTGTAGCGTATGTTCGCATTCGCTGTAGTGCTGTGCCAAAGTGCTGGTGCCGTGTCTCATTTCGGCACAGTAATGAGGGGGGAAAAGAAGCCCTGCGTGTAGTTTAGGGGGTGAAGTGTGGCCCGCTGCCTGACTGCTGCACAAATAGCTGTGGTGTACCAGCATGCCATGAAGATCTGCTTTAAGACTGCAAACATACAACAGTCAACATTGTGCTAACTTATTTTGATGGAGAATGACCTTTTGGGCTCAACAAGCTCTACTTTATGTATGTGTTTCGTTACTGTTGTAATTATGGATAGGGGTAGGGAATCATATAAATCCTGACTCATGGGCTCCACCCTGGAAAAGAATTACTGAAGTGGAAAGACTACTGTAGAATGCCTGTTCTTTGGTGAACTTCCCAGTCCTTCTGACAAGGAACACTAATCAACACGTACAATCTCGGCTTTGTTGTTTTGTTTGGTTTGTTTTTCTTCTCCACCTTAGCGTGAAAAAGGATCCACATATTTCTGAATGGAAACTCTCTGGATTACTGCTTAAAGTGTTTGTTGAGCAATGCTGAACCCAATCCGATACAGCCACCTTTCTGGTAGGATGTGTTGAATTGGACTCGGCTCTGTGTTCTTTATGAACACAAGCAAGGCGTAGTCTCCTGCCTGTTGAAGTGTAGTCCTGTCTGCAAAGTGCTGCATAGACCTACCCTAACAAACAAAAACATAAACAAAATTGAACAGTTTGATATTTCTAAATTAAAATACCACACGTTGCACTCTAGTTTCAGGTTGCTTCCCAAATCGTGATCCATACTAAAAATAAAAATATAAGCTGTTTTATTTTCCCATCTTATTTCCATGAGAGGTAGGAGCTGTTTGTGGGAAAGAATCCTGGAGAGGTGTTCTCACTTAAGAGGACAGATACGGTATAAAAAACAGGCTGTTTTGGGGTTTTTTTTGCCTCTTGTACTGCTTTTTCAAAATTGTGAGTAAAGACTGTCTTGAAAGCTGTTTTTCCACAATGCCTGGTTGAAATAAGGCGTGTGAGATACTTCAGTTTTGCTTCCGTGGTGTTCTGCCTGAGACAGTAGCAGTGAAGGCACCCTAACTCTAGCGAGCATCAGAACCATCAATTCTTGGCTGATTCTTCAGCGCTCGGTTGGCCTGCTGTTAACCATCTCATTCAAAGCAGTCTGTAGAAGAGGGGGTGGTGGATTTTTTTTTTCCTTGGTTTCTGCAGCTCTATGTCCCACCTGACACGTCTTGCAAAATAGACTTAAGATCATGTTAATAGGTTTCATGATTAAAAAATGCGGTTGTAGGTATTCATGAATCATCGACTGCTAAATGGAGTCTTGGTAAATAAGACTTGTGTAGCAGTTTCCCTGCCTCAGGGTGGATTGTCAGCTGTCACTGTGAAAGGAGAAATAAATGGCTGGTTAGACTGTTATATTTGCTTGTTTTGACAGCCACATCTGTGCACAAAGAGTAGCAAGAACCTCTCATGCAAAGCAGTGTTATGTTGTAGGATAAACAAATATTTTTAAATGACAAATCGGTCCCAGTGACAATAGAAAACTTCTGAGGCTTTCTCTACCTTGATGCCCGCGCATTAAGAATACATTTTTCTTTTTTCCTCCCTCTGTAAACAGCAGAAGGCGGCTTTGCTTGTGTCTGCTGAGAACAGTCTATGTGTGCCGATACTTACAGCAGCAAAGAGAAATGCTTTCTTTAAGTTACAGTGATCTTTACAAGGATCCTGTGCAGATGGTGTTCCAAGAATCAAAGCAACGGATCATTAACTTTCATGATTATGAAACGGTTGAAAAGCATGTATGGAGAAGTTTAAATTTAAGCTTAAGTGGCCTAGCAAGCTGATTTGGGAAGGAGAATTCTGTTAAATTAATTGCGATGCTGAATGATCAGTGAACACTTCAGACATGCTGGCTAAAGACTCTCTGAGATTCTGTCACAGTGCAAATTTTTTTTCTATAAAACTACATTGCATTTTGATAGAAGATGTTGCAAATGTGATCTACAAATATGGCCTGACTTGCCTTTGTGTGTGTGTGTTTCAGAAATACTTGCTATAGCTAGGCATTTTGGGAAATTTGTGCCTAGGGAACTTTTTTGTGTGAAGAACACACCACAATGGAAAAGCAAAATAAGATTTTCTTCGGTGAAGCAAAAAGCTGTTGGATGGCAAGAGAGTTTTTGTCTCTCAATGTATTTGTAATAAGATTTGTACAAAAAATTTACATGTTTCTGTTTGGATTTTTCCTTTTTAGCAAATAATGGAAATCCATCATTTCCTAAAGGAATAATTATTCCCCTTTTCTGTATTTTTTCTTTCTTCAAGTTGCTTCATATATTTTCAGTTACTATTTTGTATTTTTCATCTGTATGTAAGTGAATACAATGAGAGAATAAAATTAATATTTATTGGTGACTGTGACACAGCCAGAACATACATAAATTGATCTTTGTTTTGTTTAGTACTGTGGCAGAGCAAGATTATAGTGTATTGAAGAGAACTCCTTCCATATCTTCTTATTGGCTGGAGCCTGAGGATCTCTGATAGTATTCTTTTTCTAACACTTTCACCTGTATTAAAGGCAGGCTACAAATGAAAACATCTACAAATGTTTTCCTTTCATGAAAAATTGGACATAAAAGCAGAGCATGGTTTTGGCTGAAACAAAGCCACTGTGCAGGGATGGGCTCCAAAAGAGGTGTAGTATGGTCAGCAAAAAAAATGGTAAATAATCCACAACTTACAGTATGATGAGACTTCCGTTAGTTAACTCCTTTTATGCCTGTAAATGCTTAATGATAAATCACAAATGGAAGCCTTTGTGTTATACCATAGCACTGTGTCATCAAAACAAGAGGCCCATCTAGAAGCTAAAACTTGGTAATTTGAGACATAAACCAACATTGTTACTATTGCATTAAAACCAGAAGTATCCTTTCAAATGATGTATCTCTTAAAGTATAATTTTATTCTGTAATTTTGAATATTTCATGGTGATGACCAGCACATGTAGCTTTATGTATCTGTTGTTTATCTTCCAATACTTTTGAAATCAAATGGCTTTTGGCAAGGCATAAAAAGGTATATCTTTCTCTCCCTTTTTCTCTAAGATCTTAGTGGTTCCATAACAACTCCGGATGTTAAGCTAAATCTTGGAGGAGAATTCATCAAAGAATCTACTGCAACTACATTCCTAAGACAGAGAGGGTATGGCTGGCTTCTGGAAGTAGAAGATGATGACCCAGAAGATAACAAGCCACTCCTGTATGTCATAACTATTTTTGGGTATCTACCTTTATTAGCTGTGTAGGAAGAACAAACAACTTGTTGCCTCTCAAATTGTCCCACAGCTTTTTGCTGTGACTAGAATTCTGTTTGACAAATTATTGACCAATGAGTGTTTTCTGGTGCAGGAATGAAAACATTATGTTTTATTTTTAGTGTAAAAGAGATGCTTGTTATTCACTGTGGAGGAGGAAGGAAGGAGGAAGTAAAATCCAATTTTATTAATCTCTATAAGTATAAAGCCTTTATGGCTTTTCTGCTCTTATCTGTTGATCTTGTAATGGTTTAAAAAATTAGATTGCATTCTTTCTATCTTTTGCGCTGATGTTGCGAGTTTCTTAATGCTGTCAAAGAATCAGAGGCTAAGACGATTCTGTGCAAAGATTCATGTTAAGTAAATCTAAGTAAATTCTGTCAGTTACTCTGACGTAAATGCATTGTAAATCATGCTTACTACAGTAGGGATGCTAGAAACAAGGTAGCACAACCTTTATAATCTTTGATGCTATCTTATATTATAAAGCTAGATTAAAAGGGTGTTAGTGTGGAAAGACAAAAATGTCCTTAAAACTGAAAATCTCTGCATCCCTTGTTCTGTTCACAGAAACATGATTGGCTGAAGAAAGTTTGTATCTTAAGGTTACTACACTGTGAGTCAGGCAGCCTGGATCTTAGTCCTTGTTCTGCACCTAAGCAGCTTCATTCTCAGTGTCTCAGTGTTTTCCTGTGTGATTTAAAGATAATGATGCTTTAAAAAAATGGAGAAAGCAGGAGAGTACTCTGGAGAACTCAGATGAGAGTGTTGGGAAAGGACAGATGTGTGGAGAGCTTAATAATGAAACTGCTACTTGAAAAGTTCTTTAATTTAAAGTGTGCAGAAGTAGCTCCGTGTGTGAATATGTCTGTTCTGTAAACCTCTAACTTTTAATTAAGAAACAGAATGGTGTACTGAGGTAACAACATAGGAATTCCCTCCTTTGTGTAACTTTTTATACCACAAAACCCAAGATTGTGATTCAAAGACAGCCGGGTGTTCTAAGCTGCTGATTGCTGGAAGTGAGAAGAACATGCTGGGAAAATGATCGGTTAATGAAGCCTTGTAATCTGAATCCTACTAAGGATTTGAAGAATAGCAGCCAGCTAAGGGAAGTTCACCAATGCGGTGCTACCGTGCAAGCATTTTGTTCAATAGAGTGAGATTTTTTTTTTTCTTTCTCATTGGGCAGCCTTACTCCAGATGCTTGCTTCCTGTTACAGCTACCATCACTTCTTAGGTGAGGTAGCTGTCAGCTTCATGCGAAAGGCAGTTTATTCACATGAGAAACTGCCAGAAGCCCTAGGCGATGACAAAGAATTATTTCCAGTCTGGAAATATTTGTGTTACACAATCTTCAGAGTAAAATATAGGAATGCTACATCCTGTTTAGATACATGGAGGAAAATAGATGCTTCTAGTCTACTCCTTAGTTTCAGGGATGTGTTAAAGAACAATTTTTGTTATTTAGTCACAGGTTAGTAATACCAATTCTGAAATACCTTCAGTAATAGCAATCCTGAAATTGCCTTGGGAGATTCAATGAGCAGTATTTAAATTTTTTTTTTTTTTAAGAGAAGTTGTGGTGAATCATGTCTTTGCGCTTATTTCTTACTTCAGCTTTTCTGAGGAAAAAGCCATAAATCAAAGCCTTGCACAAAACTTTCATAAACGGATTGAGGATATGCTTCTGCGTTTTTCTCTACTGTGCTCTTAAATGTAGAGCAGAGGGATTTCTGCCGGGAAGTCTCTTGCAACGCTTCAGAGCTCCTCAGTCATGACTGCATAAGGAAAACACTAGCGTACAGTTTTGTCTTAAGGTTCCACGCATAAACTTCAAGAAGTGGAATTGCCCATTACTTGGAAAGTCTGCTTCCTTCCCCTTGTGCTAGGAGAATCAGGACAAGATGTACCGGTTAAGAGCCTCCTATGCAGAAGAATCTTCTTGCCAATTTGTAGCTGCTTTCAGATAGTTTGTAGCAGGGAGTGGAGAAGGCAGTTAGAGAAGAGCAAGATCTGTTGATAGAATTTATTGCTAGTTTAATTGGCTTTTATTTATTTTTACCATATTGGAAACAAGCCAGTAATTAAACAATTGGCATAAACTGGTCTGCTGAAAACTACTGTTGTTGAAGCAAGTTAAACCCCATTTTATTTTAAAAAATTGTTTTTACCTGATGTATTTTGAATAGTTTAGGAATAGTGAATGTAAAGGTATTCTTTCTTGTAGAATTTGAAATAAAATGTTTCCATAGTGAGTGTGCTCATGGCAAACTGCTCAGCATAGGAATACACAGACATCCTACTTTTGTGTATGCATGTCTTTGACTTTTAAGTAGTTAAAGTGGTACGAATATATCATGTGTTCCTGCATGTCAGAAAATACATCTACTGTCTTAATGTAGACTGTTAGGGTATGTTGTGTATGTTTTCTATTCTCAGCCATGTAATTGATTTTTGAACAATTAAATACATCTTATTGTGTCACACCAGTTACTGAATGCGGGATGAAGGTATGGTGTTGCCTTGTTGTGGACGAACTGTTCCTTTGCTAGTCGTGGCTTCAGAAAGCCTTATGAGTGACAGGAGACTTGCTCTATAAACCTACGGTTTGCCCCTGAACTTACTTTTTTACGCTCTATTTCATTACTGTGGTGTATAGTAATGCTGTCTTTCTTTACCATTTCAGGGAAGAACTCGACATTGATCTGAAGGATATTTACTACAAAATTCGATGTGTGTTGATGCCGATGCCATCTCTTGGGTTTAATAGGCAGGTAGTGAGAGACAATCCAGACTTTTGGGGTCCTCTGGCAGTTGTCCTCTTCTTCTCAATGATTTCATTATATGGACAATTTAAGGTAGGTATAAGCCTTTTACCTAAAAAGAAATCTAAACTAAATCTGGGGACATGATTGCTAAGCAATTTGCATTCTTACGTAGGTAGAAAGTCTTTCCCATGCATACTAATGTGGGGCATTTCAAATGCTGTTTCTCAAGTTAATATATAGACAGATGGCAGTAAGAAATGTATTAAATAGCCCATGGATATAAGTTAATCATGATGAAATGTCAGGTTTGTTTTTATACAGTAAAACAAAGGAAAGATGTGGTTTCTAGAGGAAACAGATTGATACTAATGGGTTTATAGTCATATTAGTGAATCTTTCCATTTTAATTGTGACCTTTTGTTAATGTGCTTTTTATTACTAAAAAATATTACTGAAGAGCATTTGTTTGGATGCCATGAATTTTAATTTCCTGACAAATAAAGCTGCTTGTTTAATTCGTACTATATCACCACTGCTATCCGGTATATGTAATCTTCATTAGGGCCATTTGCTATTTTGTCCTCCCTGCTCAATTACAATCAAATAACTTTCCTCTGATCAATAGACTTTTTCCATAATTCCTTTTGAACTCTAGGGTGAATAGCTATTCAGAGGCATTGTGCAGATTTAACTGGCCTCCATAAACACTGTTAGCTTTTTTCTTTACGTTCAGATTGAAATAGAGAAGTGGTATCATTTATAGTCACAATTTGAATGTGAGCCTAGGTGATCCTGCTTCAGAAATCTTTATGACTATATGTGTAGTTACAGTTGTTTTAAATACTACATAGTATAGCAATAAGCCATATGTAAAGTAACAGAATGTGCTTATGCAAGGATTTTTGTGAATGGTGAGATAAAATCATTCCCTTTGCGACCTCTGGCTTCCATATGGTGTACCAAATGCTGACTAAGAACTCACTCTCAGTATCTTCTTTCTATGAAACTTGAAGTGAGTAGACTAAACCACTGTATTATTCAAGTGGACCACTTAGCTGTCTCCTAGGCAAAGCAAAGTTCCTTGATCCCATGATAGATAAACTACCTTCTGCAGTTTGTGTACCTACTGTACACGAACTGTAGGTCTAACATTTCTTAGGAACGGTGGATTTACCATGCAGATGTAAAAGTGTGAGGAGGGAAAGCTCGTAGCTAGCAACAGGATGACTGAAAGCAGCTAGGCTAGATGAACTGAATGGCAGGTTGTAAGCTGGAGAGAGATTAGCATGCCTGCTCTAAGACTTCAATCTGGTCCTCTTCTTTTGGACAGTGGAAGAAAGGAGGAAGTAAAAGGAGGCCATGCACTGTTTTCACAAATAGCATAAAGCCATTATAGTTATCTTAATTTTTTGAAGTGGTGCTGTGATCTTTATCTGTTTTAAAATTTAAAGAAAAATCATCCCCTATTTGATTCTTCTGCGAATCTGGAACTTTTAATTAAGCAAAAAAATTGAATTGAGTACTAACTTCATTTTTAAGTGCAGCTGTTGTACACTTGGAAATACAGAGACTGGGCTGATATTGTTTCTCTGTAAAAAGGTATTTCAAAAGGGAGAGCTTCACTTCTAATCCTCCCAGTGCCTCAACTCCAAGAATAGCTAAGTTATTTTGAAGGTTCTGTTAAGCCAGAGAACGATTTTAAGATTTCTTCTTCAGTTTAAGTGCAGACCAGTGAAAGAAGCAGGAAAAAATAATTGCAGACTTTGTCCCAGGAGTCTGGGGCTGTTTCTTAAGTCGTAATCATCATCGAGTTCTACTGAGAGTTAAAGTCCTATGTCGTCTTCTGAGTGTTTTCAGTTTGAGTAAAGAATAAAGTGGTGTCTTTATGGATGAAAGAAGCAGCATTCCAACTCCTTGTATTGGTCGGGCTGACTTTTAAAAACTGTCTGAGCCCACTTTTTGTAATAGGCAGTTTGTGAAGACATTTAGCTAGGGTGGTCTTAGCTTTAGTTTTGACTAAACCTTTCCTACTCTGATACAGTATTACAATATTTACAAGAGACATTGCGTGTGCATTCCATGTTCACCAAACTTACCATTGATGTGATTCTGTAAATGTAACCTCTGAATTTTATTCTCAAGTTGCATTGTGATGCTAAGTAAAACTATTCTTGCTGCAGTTCAGAATTCAGTTTTGCATAATAAAATCTTTGACTTTGACTGCAGTGAAAGTGATTAATAGAAATTAGTTTTCCTTTCTCACAATGAAAATGATTAATATAAATGAATTGTTATTTATCTCTTAAGGTTGTTTCTTGGATTATAACTATTTGGATATTTGGATCCTTGACAATTTTTTTACTGGCCAGGGTTCTTGGAGGAGAAGTAAGTACCTGTATGCGAAAAGGACGTAGAGGGAGGTAATGTAAAGTCTCTTGGCTACATTTTTCAGCAGTAGTTAGGTTTTCTTGGTGCTTGGCTTTGGACCTTGTAGCCAACTAAGAATGGATGCAGTTGGTAAGTGTAACATCTACATTTCAAGTTCTTGGCCTCCAAAATAAAATCCAAAATACAGAGATGGTCAGCTAATCTTTCTGTGTGATGGAGGGCACGCTGGATGTGATAATCTGGAAATTTGTACTACAAATTATAACAGGTGCCTGTGATTCAGAACTGAAGTCCATTCTTGAGGGACAAGTCACTGAGCTAAATGGGACCCTTTCTCCTCCTTTGCACTGCTCTTGCACTGCCCTTTATTTAAACTTTTTTTTTTTTTTTTAAATGGGGCCAGCAGGATTTTTATAATGTCCTTGTGGGTTGAGCACCTATCAGTGTTTGTTTTCATCCTTGGCCTGATGCAGTTCAAACTCATTAAAGGATAAAAGTCAGCACATGTTCTTCAACTGCGAAGCCAATTGAAATTCTGGCCTGCATCCCTCCCTCCAGCTGCTTGCACCAGCAGGGTTGGAATAGCTGTTTACAAATTGAGTCACTAAGTGATTCAGGTGTAAACAACAAAAAATGACTTACAGCAAGGCCCACAGACAGCTACAGCGGAACATTCAGGAGGGTAGAAACTTCTTAAAATGGCTCTGCAGCATAAAGTGCATTGATCTGTGTCATGAAGAACTAAATATTCAGTGATACTTGATTTTTATATTTTTACTATGCGTCTTGCATTAATGATGAACTAGTGTTGCAGACCTCCTACATTACTTACATTTACTTTAATTTTTTTTAGATTTTCCATTTAATCATAATTGTTAGAGCCTTCTTGTGTGAACACTGTTTTGAAAGAAAAAGCTTATATAAATGTGATTGCATGGGTTTTCTGCATACCAGCATAATTCAGATGCCCTTAAATCAATCTGTTTTGTGGCTCAAAATGTGAAATTGTCAGAATGTATAAACTGGGGAGAAAGCATAGGTCTGCACAGGTCACTGTGAACCATCAATGGCCACAAGAGATTGTTTGCAAGAGGTCACTTGTCTCGCCACTGTTTTTCCTGTTAAATCCAAGAAGCCTAGCTGGGCCCAGGAACATTTCAAACCGTAGTAGGGGAAAATCAGACATTTAATCCCCATGAAGCTAAAAACAGTTATGGAAGTACTTTGAACAAATCTGTTTAAGATAGTTATAATAAATTTAAACTGGAAATCAGAAGCTTTCTGTGCCTTAGGGGGATCAGGTTCTAGGTCTTCCACTGACGACAAAAGTGTTAATATACTTTATGAATTTATTATGTATAATGGATATGAGTATGTTAATGCAGAAAATCATATCTTTGCTGCTTGTGACAGCTAGGACTACAGCTGGTGACTGAGAGGTCTGTTGTAGTTCTCTGCTCCTCAGTATCATTTGTACTGTGGCAGATGAGAACCACTTAAGGCAGAACATGAAAATATGACAGGGTGGGTGGAATTACATATTTTAACCTTTGTAAATACTTCCCTTGGAAGTGATAAAATTGTCACTTACGGTGTTTAAAAAAAAAAAAAAAAAGAAAAGACAACATATTTCTAAGAGAACTGAATGATTACAAAATTCTAGAGGGTAGCATACAAAAACAATTTTCATACTAGCAAGCTTCATTTTGCTGAAATTTCATGAACACCCCACACATTATTATCGCTATTCATACTGTTATAACAAGACCAAATTGTGTTTGGTGACAAAGATTTGAGTACTAAAAAGCTTGTTTTTATGTGCTTGAAAATTTCAGGTTGCTTATGGCCAAGTTCTTGGTGTGATAGGATATTCCCTACTTCCCCTCATTGTTATAGCACCTGTACTTTTGGTGGTTGGATCATTTGAAGTTGTTTCTACCCTGATAAAAGTAAGTCTGGTATCATCTGTTGAGAATTGTTTACAGTTACTTTTAAGTCACTTTCCTAACACTTCAAGTATTAATCTGTTGAGGACAACATAACGATGTGTCAAAATATTCAGAACATGAGCTCTGTCATCCTTTTGGTTAGCATGGTGGACATGACTGCTAAGCGAATTCTGTTTTAAATGTTTCTTTTGAGTACTTGGGAATATACAGTGCTGTTGCTGTAACAACACCTGCTGTTATCAGGTTAGCTTCTGTTTAAGTATATTATTTAAGTATATTAAGTATATTTAGCTTCTATTTAAGTATTCTGTTCTGTGCTATAATAGTTGCATTAAGTTAAATAGGATTATCATTTTGAGAAGAGGATGCGTAATTAAACCTCAAAATGAAGAATCTGAAAATAAGCTGTTCTATCCCTTCCCCCATCATCCAGTTTATTTTTAGCTACTGCAGCATGAATATGACATTAGTCATTGTTCTGAGACCTTCCCATGGTGGTAGCAGTAGAAAGCTCTCTACACCGTTTGCAGAGGTGGTGAGTGTTGTTCTGATTTTACAGATGTGGAATGTAAGGCACAAAGCAAGAAGAACTTGCCTGATACCACCTGCTGTTGGACACTTTTTATGAAACTAGGAAAGTTCCCTGATAGATCCCAGAACTACCTAACATTCTCGAACACTTCCAGTACTTCTTAAAACCCTTTTAGGTAGCCTTTGAAGTTACTGCTGAACTGTTGGAAAGGTTGACTGAGAGAATTCTGTTACTAACTAAGCTATATGCTTTTTGAGTTCTTGTTCTGTTGATTTGATTGATTTCTGTCCTTTTAGCTTGCTGGTAAACAGTATAATTGAAGTACAACTAAAGTGTATGATAAATAACAAAATTGCTGTGTTTGTGATTTGATAACCTACAATTACTATTAAGTGATACAGTCAGAAAGCAAATCATTAACTTACCAGTTAACTAATACATAACTTGAAAATAAATGTATGTTAATGAAACCTCTGTTACTTGATTACTACTAACAGTCTTGTATTAACTTCAGGGCTGATCTGTGCGAGGTTCTTACCTTTGCGTCATTAGTGTGAAGATGCAGGACAAGCCCCATGTGGCCAAAACTACTTATGCTGTGACAAGTACTACTACTTATGGCTTGAGAGCTCTGTGCTTGGGGAATATTTCACAGTCCTAAAGTTGGGAAACTTACAGTGAAATAGTGAAACTCCAGTCAGTTCTTTCCCAGTTGCAATCAGCAAAGTAAACTACTCAAGTAATGCACCTCGATTTTTTTTAATTGCTGCAATTTTCCTAATATATCTTAGGGAATTCAGTCGTCATGATTTTGATTGTCCTTGTCCATCTCTGCGGTCCCATGTTAGGCAGCAGAAACAGAAATACGCAATCACATGCAACTTCTGGTTTTTTTTTTTTTCTTTTTTTTACAATGGCAATTGAACAGGCCACATAATCCCTCAAGGGGCTTCAGCTCCTCTGACAGAACTGTGGAAAAAGGTCTTTGCTGGGGTCCTATGATGTCTGCCCTCTTTAGTGTTGTGTTTTGCAGAAGATTACAATGTTTTTGCACGCCACTCAGTTTTAAGTATTTTTCTTTTTTTATTAATATTCAAGGTGCTGCTAGAGGATAACAATGTCTGATTACTTTTTGCTATAACCTTGTTAGTTTGAGGTTTGAGTCAAGTTTACTGACCTCAAGACATTTTTTTTTAAAAGTATGCATTCTAACTTCATATAACATCGTGGATATTCATGGGTAAGGTTACTTTCTACGAGTCTTTTAAACTGGTTCTTTCTTAACTGAGTAAACAATACTGTTTTTGATACAGACTGTATTTTGGCAGGCTTCTTGCTGCACCTGAAAGGAATAGGAATGTGAGGTTCAGTTACCTTGAGGTGGGGGCATCTTAATTAAAGAAAAGCTTATGAGCCAGACAAATCCTGAAATAAAAAATGGTAATTTAATCCTCTGGTATGTATTTAGGAGGAAGAGTCAAGTATAGTAACTCTTTTGCTTAAAGAAAGGGAGGGGTTAATAGTTGGGGACAGTCAAGGTAGAAAGAAAAGTTATTAATCCAGTGACGTTTCAAATTATCGGTGTATGTAAGCTTAGGGCTTGCTTTATGGTATTTATATGTCTTACACTAGAGAAAACTTACTATAGATCCTTAGCCGCTCACTTCAGTAAAAATGTCTCAAATGAAAATAACATGCCTATTTTCTAAATATTTCTCTAAACGTAAATGAAAATGCGTAGTATATTGTGTTTGTGTGTGTGTGTAGTTCTTCCCCGCCCCCAAGTTCTTTTTTGGGGGGTTTCTTTTTAATTATAGAGAGAAGAACTGATTTTTATCTTGGTATTTGGAGAGATTATTTTGTGGTGTCAGCTAAGACTGTTCATCTTCTTTTTCAGTTGTTTGGAGTCTTTTGGGCTGCATACAGTGCTGCATCATTACTAGTTGGAGAAGAATTCAAGACCAAGAAACCCCTTCTAATTTATCCAATCTTTTTATTATACATTTATTTTCTGTCCTTGTACACTGGGGTGTGATCTAGTGCCAGATGTGGCCAGAAACCATATTTTATTCACTTGCAGACTGATAATGCATAAGATTAAGGAGGCTGGAGATAATACAAGTGACTGTTTTGTATCCAGTTGTCAAGATGTTTTAAGATCGAAGAGCGTATTTGTGTATATTATTTAATGAAGCAATTGTAGCTATATAGATTTGTATCAAAGTTCTAGGTTTGTTGAAGACTCTTCAGATTTTAATGAACAAAATAAAAAAAACCTTGTGTTTTATAAGAAAGTGTAGCAAAACCACAACTCAATACCTGTGCCAAAAGCACTAGGACCAGATTACTATATTCAAGGAGAAAAATGAGAAGTTAACTGGAACAATCTCAAAGTGCAATTTTTCTTTTGAGCTGAAACACAGCTGGCTGTTTTGGCACAGCAAATTCTGTAGATAATATATATTTATGAAATAGTCCTGATTGTTCACAGAATAGTCTGTATATTCAAGACATGAAGATACTACTTTTAATTTAGTGCCTCAATTACTTTGATTTGGCTATTGAGTTTTTATAAATTCCAATTTGTTTTCGAAACATGTATATACTGTGTATTTTGTATCTATGGCTTGTGTGTAGCGTAAATACTCTTTGGTTAAGGATGTATATCGGGTTTTTAAAAACTGAAGATACAAGTATTTGAGGTCTTCATTTACTATCTCTGACCAAAGGAGCAAGATACTTACTGCGTGACATAATTAATTAAAATGCATATTTAGAGAATCAAATTATTTTACTTAAAAGTATAAATTTACAGAGAAACGGGTGAACACCTTTCTCAACTGTAGTGCTGGCTTAATGTTGGAGAAAAAAGATGATCTATCAAATTTGTGTGATCTTTAAACAATGTTATTTTATGATGACAAAATAAAAATAATGCTTCCCTAACTATGTTTTACAACATCTTGCTCTGTCTTGCTTTTAATAGCATGGTATTTAACACGCATCTGTTTTTTCCCCAGTACTATTAATCCCTTGTAAAGAGAAATAAAAAAGGTATGTAAAGCCAGATTCTCCCTCCACTAAATAAGGCAGAATTACAGCCTTAGTAACAATTACAGTCTTGCTAATTTTGACTATCCAAGGATTATGTAATAACATGATGATATGTTAAATATTTCCTGTGTACTGTGTTGATTGCTTATGTAATGGTCCTTATGGTAATATTTCTTCACAAGGGAGGTCCACTGAAGTTCACTTTGCATGGTACTAACATAGGCATTTGCAATCTTCAGTATTTAGTATTGCCAAATGGATCTTAAGTTTTTAAATATTTTTTTTTGGTAACAGAAAAAAAGCATTCCCCATGTCTTTTTTTTAATGCTGCAAACAAAAATCAACCATGACAAGGAAATAGCAAGGGCTGTCTTTGATCCCTGATGGACATATTTTCTTATCAGAACTGTGCTTTTTCAGCTTTTTAGACTGTGTAACTTGCCATTTTAGTAATTTATTTTTACCGCTCATTACTGATGCAAAATATATTTTTAAATTCCAACTCTACCACAAACCTCTAGCTTATTCAGTCTGCTTTTCTGGCTGATGCTTGTATTGGTTTTAAACAGAACTACTTAAAGTTGATGCTGGACATAAATTGTAATGTAATACTCTAGCTTGTAATACATCAAAGAAGAAAAACTGGTAGAGTGATCGACTTTTCACCTAATTTTTGAGTTCTGCAGAAGTTCTGCTGGAATTACTGCAGAGTCGTACTACACCAATTACACCAGCAGCTTAGTACTTATCTGCAAGTGTTTTGTGAGCATTGATACCACATTTGGAGAAAAAAAATGCAATTACAGTGTATTTTAAAAAAAAAAAAGCATGTTAGCTTTGGAATCTTGCATGATAATCTGGTCTTATCTCTTTTTCATGACTTATATTTCTTTTTTAACAGGAATATCCAACTAGTATTAGAAGTCTCAATCCAGACCCTGTGAATACGTTTGACTAACATCACACAAACACTTAGGTTACTAGGCTGTCAGAGAGCTTTTAAGCTTAGTTCTTCTTGCATAGCTGTTCATTAGATGTCCATAATGGCTCCTGTGCATCTGAAATGACCATGAATATTCAAAGAATGCAAGAATGTTTATTTAATTTCCAAATATCTTAATTTTCTCTATACTAATGTTCTGTGAAATTTATAGTTGCAATTTTAACTGTTCCTTTCCACAGACTTGGCACGTGTAATATGCAATGTAGATATGCATTTAACATAGTACATATTTTGTACACAATTGCAGATTTGCACCTTTTAGTATCTCTAGGATCACCTTTTGCATATGCTGTGCAAGAAATATGTATGAACAGCTCTCAAATGGTTCTGATAGTTTGTAATAACTTTGCATTCAACAAACTCGTATTTTTAGATGAGGTATGTGTGTAAATACAAGATGTATTTTATAAAAATTTTCAATTAAACTTGTTTACAGAATGTATGAAGCTCATTTATATTTACTGAATGAAGACATCTATATTCCTATGCCTGTCATCAATCTCAAGCTTTGAGGCTATAAATAAGTTTTTGTGATAGTGTATATATACTACTACTGGTGTCAAAACTGGAAACTTAGAGCACATCCATCTAGCAAAAAGTTCCCTTTCTAAGATGCAACACTGCATTTCAAGGTGGAGACATGGGTATCATACCTTAATAATGAGACATGCTCTTTGGGCAATCTTCTGTATAGAGCAGCTAGACATGTACATGTGTAGATGTCTTTCTCCCTCTTCTACCCATTGGATGTACTCTGTTGTTTATCAGAAAAATTATACCTACTTGAAAAGTACATGAAATCAATTGCTTTGATGTGGAGACAACACACAGATCTGCTTTAAGTTTTGTCACTACCTTTATTGGTCCTTAATGTTTTGCTTGAAGTAGCGAAGCAAGCTTAAAAGCTTTCAGGACAATTGATTAGCCTACATGGCATACATACACGTCGTTTTGGTTTTGTTTTGTCCTTTTTTCTTCTTTACATAGACCCTGTATTTCTTAAATCATTTTCCTGCTACAGCAGCCTGTGCTCATTTGGGTCCTTCTAATAAAAATACTCTTCTGTAGGAAACCGCATTATATTTGAAACTTCATTATATTTAAGACCATCAGTAGCCTAAAAGTTTTCTCAAATATTTTAGCAGAACATGCTACTTAGATAGAAGAATGCCTACAGGTAGGTCCGAAGCTACAAGCTGTTACTCCAGTGGGTGAAAAGGGAAAATCTCAACAATACAAAAGGTTTTATTACACTTACGTCATTTTTGAAGCATGGTGAATACTGCTTCAGAACAAAATGCTTTCATGGGTAGAACGACTCCATCCTTACTTTTGGGGGTAAAAAAAATGCAAGGGATTCCGGCACACACGAAGAGGCAGGAGTCCCGTCCTCCCCCCGCCCCCGCCGGCGGCCAGGGACACCCGTC